CCGTCTCGTTGTCTTGTTCACAAGCACGGCACAGAGGGTTGTCAACACACTTTATGTTATAAAGGTGTTTATTTACCTTACAGTGACCTGTAACAAGTCCCGTAATAACCCGTAAGGCGCTCTTACCCAACCTTACAAATATCTGTGCTGCGTCAGCTTTAACTCTATCCCACCAGTCAGGGAACTTTTTGCGGGTTAGGCTTTTGTTTAACTCTATATGAGATACAATGGAAGGGACAATTGTCAGTAAAGGGGAACAGGGCACTTTTCCAGTAGCCCTTTTTGCCAGCCTATCGGCGTGCTTATTTCCCGAGTGAATCAAGTGTCCCTTTATCCACTGCAGTGTGACACTGTTTAGTGTTCAAGCGCCAAATAACAATCCATAATCAGCGCAGAGGTAAATTTATCTGTCTGCTCAGGTGTTGGGGTAACGTTTTATAAAAATTGTATCCAAGATTAATCCAGCTATTCATACTGGATCATAATTATCCGATTCTCTGCTTTGCGAATGAATGGCTATACCTCATGCATTGTATATGAGGCAATTCGTGATGGTCTTAGGTTTTACAGTACTACCCTTGAGCAGTCGTTAGCAATCCAGCTATTTTTGTTTGTAGCAAACACTAGGAAATAGAACCGAATCAGATTATTTCTTACCTAGGCTAAAACTACAAGAACTCCATTCGTTTCATCATGCTTATTCCTCTGTCTAGGTGAGCAATTATTCTTCTGCTCCATTATTAACGGCGCCCGTAGCGTTTAGACACATTGCCTCCAGTACCAGAAGATATCTTCTACTTAACATCACATATTTGAAGAAAGCAAAGATGTATAAATACTAACTTACGGAGGAGGCAAATGTCTTTATAAACCTCCGAATCCAAGACTATAAGATTTCGTGCTAGAACCATTGGGAATATGGTCATCGCATAACTTGTCTGTACCTGCATTAAAAAGACTGTTTATATTTTTGTTACATTAATTGTCTTTTAGTTCGCTTTGTAAGGCAATATGTGTGTAACATACAGTGATATGTAAATTTTAAGTTGTTAATATTGCGATCAATCAGCTACAAAAAAATGTTTTCAATATTCACTGATGTAAAGATTGCAAAATGATAGTTCCTTATTTTAATAGAAATTAACAAGTAGTAGAAAGTCAAGTTAAACCTAAAATACTGAGTATCTTACTAGCAAACTGGAAAACATTCCAACATGAGGCAAATCTAATCCAAATCTTTGGCTGTATCTTGAGCGGGTGTGAAATATGTTATTTTCTAATTATTCCATGCGTCAATACAAAATGTTGGCAGATACATAAAATAAAAGTTAGAGACTTGCAGCTTGCTTTTTGATAAAAAAATTGTATGATCAACATTATACGTGTGATTAATGTTATAACCATATAGGACTACATATAAAGTGTTTTGAGCAATAATATATAATAAATTGTTATAAACTCTTTAGAATTAATCTAGAAATCTCTAGCAACTCATAAAGTTTTGTTTGAAAAGAGATAAAAGCAAAAATATACGTCCAAATCACGTTCACTGCATTATGATGTTGGCAATGTTTTTTCAGCTTAATACAGCAATCAAAAAGGACTTTATAAATTGTTTGAGTTGGTCATAAATGATGATATTACTTAAATATTACCTTAAATGGCTCTCATCGGCTCCCACTCTCTTCCAAAACATTTTCATACTCCTTCGATCATTCCTCAATTCCTACAAATTTTTTTAAATTGTTCCAACGGCTTCAAATGAGTTTTTGGAATGAATTTATAAGTAATCTGCTAAGTGCTGTAATAAATGTAAGTTATTAAATTACAAAGAAACTAAATTAACGTTTTCAATTACTTGAATTTAAAGGAATTAAACAGGTATTGTCACTTTTTGGAATAGAAAATGAATTTATAATTAAGCCGTATGAGTAGATGTATGATATCACTTAATATGTATATCATGTAGATATCGAATTTTGATGCCAAAAGAATCATCTGTCATCTTTTCGACGTTGATATAAACATAACCTGTCATTTTATTTTGACATAAAATTTTACAAGGTTACCAACATGCGGCAACACTGCATTTTATTTTTTGGCACAAATTTATTCAAATTCGTTTTTAAATATTTTATTAATTAAAATATTGGATATTAGTTACGCGGAATTAAATTTGAAATTCAAATATTATTGTTGATTAATAAATCAACAAGATAGAGCCGTAATGACGTGTTGATATCGCTGATAGCGTTGTAAATAAAAAGCTATTTGTATACAAATCAACTGACCTTTAAGAACATTTTCTTAGAAATAATCCACCATACAAAACCGTTTATTAAAATTGTTGAGTTTACATCAAACTAAAAAAGAATGTATTAAAATTGAGGTTAATTTACGATTTTACTAAAAAAAATTTTCATACTAATTTACCTTAAAAATTCTTAGTACAACAAACTTGTAATCAATATTTTATCATTTTTATCTATCAAATTATGTAAAGCTTAAATAAACACACATATTTATAATGAAAAACACACAAATTTTAATGTTTGTATCGACAATTAAAATTATAGGTGTGAAGATAGTTATTAATCTTATTTATGGTAGAAACCGAACTTCACAGCTGTCCACAGTACTATAATAGATCAAAAATAAACTAATTCTTCAAAACACACAAAAAACATATTTATAATTAAAAACACACATATTTATAATTAAAATCACACAAATCGCAATGTTTGTATTGAAATTAAAATTAAAATTATAGGTGTGAAGATAGTTATTAATTTTATTTATGTTTGAAGCGAATTTGACAGCTGTCAAAGAACCCCTTAATCAACAACTTAACTTAAAAAAAGAAATGTGTATTAAGAACTAAAAGTGATTCTTCAAAACGAAGTTCTTCATTGAAAGGTAACTGTTTTAAATTTCCATTAAACATTATCTATAAAATTAGTACGGATTTAGCATAAGAAAACTTAATCAATCTCGAAGTAAATTGTCAAAACAAGAAAATGAAATTTCAACCTTATTTAAATTGATAAATTTAGATCGAATCAATTAAATGATCAATTAGTAATAATCTTTCTCCCAGGTGTTGTGAGACAATTACAACGTCTACTAATCGTCGATAAGTTGTCCCCGTACATGGTATTCGCTCTCTCCGAGATGAAATTAATTTCTTGTTGGTCTGGACTAGGACCGCCCACACTTTAAGACGGCATACAAACGGGTTCACGGCAATTAAGGTTAAAATAAGTTATTCTCTTTAAAAGGAGAAAAATAAATAATTCATCTAGGAAACGATATCTCTCATTAAACACAGGTTCCGAGTTCATAAAAAAGTAACAAAGTCCGAACTCGGAGATCTAGGCTTGGATTATTTTCTTTTTTTTTTTTTTCGTCTACCGCCCTGGTTTTTTTTGCGAGTTTTATATCAATTTCCTGGAATATTTCGATCGCAGACGAGATGCAGCTGCGAGATCCGAGATCATTAAGGGGAATATAACTGGCGCAATTAAATTTTAACCATTTGCGGTTAGAGCCGGGACTTTAAATTATCCCGACTGGAAATAATCTATAATCGGTTTCTCTCGTTAATTAATATAAAACGCGGCATTCCTAGGGAATTAATACATAATAAAAAAATTAAAATCGAAATAATAAAAATAAATATTATTTAAACAAAAAATCGATAGCGACGCTCGTAAAATGGGTTCTCAAAAAGTTAAAACGCCGAGGTCAGGATCGAATAAAACATAAAACCCTTTCTTTTTAGATACACACACAGGCGAGGAGTTGTTTCAGAATCTGAGGGCATTGACCGTCTAAAAACGGCCCCCACCGAAATAAATGCGTCCTCCTCTTACCCGCCAACGAATCAGACAGATATTTATAGATAACGAAGTCTCAAATCGGTTAAATACAGGGTTGGAATTATACCTGTACTTCTTGGATTTTACTCATTTCAAATTTTGGTTTATTATCTGCCATCTAACCGTGAACTTACAAAGTTTTAAATCACAAAATTAAAGATGTCTGTATGTTACAATCAGCGCCATCTAACGTATCTATTTGGTATTTAATAAAATACTAATTTATTTAATATACCGAGAATTTTATAGAATTCGGAATATATGTATGTTCCACATAAAATGAATTGTGGTTCTAGGTCTAGTGTTAGTTCTGCTTTTCGTTCAATAAAAATTTATCACAATCTAACGTTGAATAACAATTAAAATTAGAACTAACACTAACTTAGTTCTAGTTTTACACTAGCACTATCACTAGAACTAACACAAGACCGAGAACTAGAAACATTCGGATTTAGCCGCACGTCTCTCAAGGCGGCTAAACCCGAATGATTCTAGTTCTAGGTGTTGTGTTGGTTCTAGTGATAGTGCTAGTGTAAAATTAGAACTAACATTAGAACTAGAAAGTTTCTAGTTCTAGGTCTACTGTTAGTTCTAGTTTTAGTGCAATAAAAATATGCAACATAGCGATATGCTAACTAGCAGTAGCTACCAAAATCACTAGAACTAACATTAGACCTAGAATGTTTCTAGTTCTAGGTCTTGCTTTAGTTCTAGTTATAGTGTTAGTGCAAAACTAGAACTAACACTAAACCGAGAACTAGAAACATTCGGATTTAGCCGCACGTCTCTCAAGACGGCTAAATCCGAATGATTCTAGTTCTAGGTCTTGTGTTAGTTCTAGTTTTACACTAGTACTATCACTAGAACTAACACAAGATTCTATTTCTAAGTTTTGTGTTAGTTCTAGTGATAGTGCTAGTGTAAAACTAGAACTAACGCTAGACCTAGAAAGAATGTTGTCAATTGCTAGAAGTGGTGGAATTCGTGAAAGATGGAATACAAAAGAATTTTTGATTTTAGTAAATTTTATTTCTAAAAAATATATCTTTGAGTTTTAAATACTAGTTACATTATTAATTATATTAATATAATATATTTTTTATAATAATAAATTAGTAAAAAAGTAACAAAAAAGAAATGTTAAAAATCAAAATTGTTTTCGTAAAATCTTCTTAATATCTCTGATTCCGATCCGAGTATTTCGATGAAAGTTTACTCACTGAATATCGATCGCTATACCGATCATCCGGATACTTTTCCTCGGTTTTGTAATTAATTTCGGGAGTTCCAAAAGTTTTTTGCCAATGATGTGTCCAATAAAAATCTTCCGGATTGACGTCTTTCGGCGATTTAAAATCTCGACATATAACGACGCAATATATTATACTTGCGATTAACGTTAGAAACCCAACTATTAAAAATATTATTCCTAGCACCCTAAAAGAAAATCAAAAATCAATAATAAAAAGGTAAAATTAAAATGAATCTTACCAAACGTAAATCGGTTCGAAAAATTGGATAACTATCACGAATCCCAAAGTTACCAAAACGATACCCAAGTTTAATAAAAGCATCAAACAGCACATTCCTTTTATGTTTGGACAAAAGGGGTTTGGTGCGGCCATCGTTTCAACTGTGACGCCACCTTTGCGTGAATTTCTTGTTTTTTGTGTACTTGCAACCGATGGGGCTACTCCACTTCTGTATGAATAGTGACTAGGAGCTCCTCTTGATCGTGAACCGCGACTAAAAATAAATCATTTTAATAACATTTATTCTTAAATATTTATATATATATACAAAATATGGATATTAACCTAAATTCTGATGGTGCTTTATAGGCTCCACTTGTAACATAAATATCGGATCCATTATCATCGTAACCACTGCCTCTGCTTAAGGCAGAAGAAGCTCTTGGTGGATTTCTGGCGTGGTGATATCTTCTGGCTTCTCGTTCATTTACAACATTATATGGCTAAAAATAAAATAAGAAAAAGGTATTAAATTAATGCTGAAATAAAACGCCGCCGTCAATATTAATTGATGGAAAATATAATTGAAAATAATTTGTTTTAAAAGGATATGGTCGCTTATTAAGTTTGTATGAGCATATTCAATTCACAGCAGTTCTTCCCTTCACTCTCTGCTTCAGACATTCTGACAACGCATAAAGAGTCTGAAATGCCTAAACAAAACTTGAAAACTCTTGCTTCTATAAATCATTTGTTTCTCGTTTTCTACTTCTTAACCACTCCACCGGCTTCCGATTGACATTGTAGACGATAAGTCCTGCTTTTGGTTCCACCTAGCACATTGTTGAAGTCCTCTCTGGATACCTCATAAAAGCATCACATGACTGCATGAGAAGGTGTATACACTTTCTTCCTGTAAGAAGCTTTCTCTCCAATACTACTTGCATAGTCTCTATCGGCGCAGTACGAGAAGTCCCTGTACCCTAGAATAGGAGCAGAATCATCTGCCCTAATACTCTATACCTCCACCCTTTACAACAATGTCGGCTTAATCATACCCGAAATCTTGTTGTCCTATTTTTGTTCTTCTCCAACCTTCTTCGCCACACATCCAGAAGCAAGATAATTTGCAAAACTCAATATTTTTCGCTATGACCTCAAACGAGTTAAACCGAACCTAACAGGCAAACCAGTTAGTCACACAACTTTGTAGATAAAATCCCCACAGCAATAGCATATATTTAGTACTCTGGCCGTTTCATTCATTATAGAATTCCCATAATTCACACTCTGTTGAAACAATACTAATATTGTACTGATCTAAACTCCAACCACAACTTTCCTGTATCTCGTTATTTAACACCCGGTACTATGCAATCGGTGCTAGGAAAAGTGATCTAAGTGTATTGATTATCATTTTTACATAGTGATTGACACAATAATACATCTATAGAAAAGAAACAAAATTCTGCAAAACTCGCCAAAGTGACTATTGTTTTCTGCTCAGTGATGGTTTTAGAATTATGATGTCTTTAATATTACCACACAAAAATTAGTCACAAGGGATCAGATTAGGGAATATGGCGGCTTCTGGATACCTCAAAGAATGCAATCCCCAAAATGATCTTCCAAAAACAAACACTATTGATCCGATGGGGTCAACAGTGTTTGGGACCCGATGGGATCTTCATTATTTATAAATTTTTTGAGCCTGAAAATCACTTTTTGCATATTTGCTCTAAACTTGGTTTTTATTACAGTAAACTTTATTAATTAGTCCAAAATTCTGCCAATTTCATGTTGTCAAATTTTAATGAACTGAAAAAAAAATTACGACGTTTGCCAACTGTACTATGATGGCATGTGGTGATTAGCATCACAATGGGGTTCCGATTTACTTGGAAGTACATATTCCATTGTCAAAATTTTCATTCACAATACACATTGTGATCTCTCATCACTATTAATTTCTGTTGCCGAAAACCAAACTTTACAACAATATTACAAGAAAATAAGAAATAACACATGCTATAAAACAAATATAATTCACGTAAATACTCCTACACTATTATTGATTGTTAGTTAGTTTACACACCCTCTGCACCGGGGAGTTGGTTAAAACATTGGATCTGCAATTCCTCAAATAAAACTGATTGGTACTATGTGTTGTACGCGTAGGCATCGCGAAAATGATCCGCAACAACAACCAACCACAATCAAATTCACCTTGCACTAACTTCTGCAAAAACTTGGTACACTGGTCATCTCTTCTTACGTCCAGTACAGAAAAGTTGTGACTCCACAGCAGGGATGCGTAATCCGTTCCACGATCCGGGTATGATCCGGATCTATGTCCAGGCGTAGAGACAAATATTTGAAAAATCTCCTCTGAGTTCTCTCCAACATAAGTCTATGACACACATATTGTGGCGACCAAATTACAGAGCAATATTCCAATTTGGACAATACAAATATCAAAAACAGGGACTTGTACACACCGATGTCAGAAAAAGCTCGTGAGGTGCGCAAAACGAAACCAAGCATCCTCGCTGCAGAAGATGCAATATTTTCAATGTGCGGCACAAAAGACAATTTGCGGTCAAAAGTAACTCCCAGATCCTTGATTGTAGATAGTTTCTCAAGAAGAACATCTTCTATATAATAAGAAGATGGAAGAGGAGACATTTTGCGTGTAAAACTAACCGCAACACACTTATTGGCACTAATCTTTAGCTGATAACGGTTACACTATTCCACCAAGACGTCCAAGTCCGACTGAAGACTGACAACATCACGGTCCGAAAAAATAGTTCGGAAACAGGTACTTGCAAGCATCATCAGAATTCAACAGAAGAGGTCCGTGATCCGCACTTTATTTCAGCGAGCAGCGAGAAGATGTGAAGGAGATAACTTGAGGAAGGAGCAACACTTTCTACGAGGCGTACTGCAGAAGAACGGATACACTACGAGGGACATCAACCGGGCCATCAAGCAGCGAAAGCAGAGGGAGGACGCGGTAAGTACAAAACCTCTTGGATTTATCCGTCTTCCCTATGTTTCAGGTGTAACGGAACGAATTGCCAGGCACCTCAAGAAGAACGACATCATAGTGCGGTACGGGACGGTCAGCAAGATTTGGAATACACTCCCGATAGCCAAGAACAAACTAACTCCATTAAAAGGAACGGGAGTCTACCGACTATCGTGTAGTTGTGGGAAGGTTTACGCAGTCGGCGGTTGCGGAACATTGCCATGCAGAGGGACGCCGAATAGACTTTGACCAAACAAAGGTGCTAGCTAGGGACAACAGATATCACTAGCGACTGACAAGAGAAGCCATAGAGATCCACCGACATAGAAATAACGTCAACAGAGAGGATGGCTGGGAGCTTAGCAGAACATGGAAGATGGTGGTGAACAAGAAGACCTCCTCCCGCCTCACACCGGACGCGATACAATTAGTTAATAATTATCTTTAATTGATTATTAATTAGTTTTCCGACTTATATATTGTTCCCAATTTTCGATTTCGTCACTTCGAACCAATTTCTGAAGAGGGTTGCAACATGGCATCCGAAACGTCAAACCTTTTCTTAAAACGCACGGAAAGTTTCTAATTTTAGTTCAAGAGGTAAATAGTTTCATAAACTTAGGAGATAAGCCAAATGCACTAAGTTTATACAAGAGAACGTCATGATGAATCATGTCGAATGCTTTAGAAAAATCAGTGTATACCACATCTACCTGACCGCCCCTATCCAAAGATTCACAAATCACCTCAGTAACCACCGCGATATTGGTAATGGTTGAACGACTCTTAATAAAGCCATGTTGATATGGTGACACAAATGACTGAACCTGCGGATAAATCATCTTGTAAATAATCTGTTCAAATATTTGAGCGAAATTGGACAATAACGATATCGGTCCATAATCAGTAATCTTAGTGCTTAAGGATAGGTTAATTATTAAATAAAGAGGAACTGCAAACACTGCACAACAATCACGAATGAAAAATGCAGGAAGATCATCATCACCAGCAGTAAATTTATTAGGTATCCTTTTTAGGAAATGAAGAACCTGTTCTTCAGTCACATCGGCAACAAATACTGGAGGATACGTAGAGTGTACATCAACCATGTTATAAGCAGAGACACCAGAATATACTCTAGAGAATTGTTCTGCAAAAGCATTTTTTCAGGATCAGTGTAGGTGAACTTATCACACATCATTTTTCCAGGAGGTCTCGAGGTTGTTGTTTTCTGTCTTATATAACTCCAAAAGTTACGGGGGTCAGAACTAAGCGATTGTTCAGCACTAATAGTAAAGGAGATTCATCAGAGATTTTCTGTTTAATCAAACATCTGAGTCTTTTATATTCTACTGAATAGAAAGCACTATTGCTTCTCCTCCACTTCCTCCTATAATACTCTTTCAACTTTAATAGCCGCTTAATTACTGGGGTATACCAAATAAATCCAAAATCTCATACAACTTTCAACAACACGAACAAGTTCAAACTGATGATCAGTATTTGTCAGAACCGACTCCAATAGACGATTGTCAACATGATTGAGTTGACGAAGGTCCAGAAAATCACAAAAGTTACGAAATAACTCCGTTTTTCTACATTTGGTAGATATGCCAGGTGCCTTAATATATTCAGGCAAATTAAAATCATCAAGGATAAGGAGTTATGTCGTAATGATCAAGATAGTACCTTTTGGATGCTGCTTAGCAATCTCTGGAATTTTTCATAGTCTATTCCTAACCATTCGTGACTGCTTTCAATGCCAATAATTACTTTCAAAATCGTTGGCACACATCATCCTTTTCGCCCCTTCGATGTACATGTCTCAATAGATATGCAGTTGTTTTTCCAGATGGTTCTTGGTGCTCCCCCAATTCTGGCTGACTTGCTGACTAGTTTTCTCACGTTATTTTTGAGCTCTACTAGATGATAAGCCTACGCCTAAATTAGTGTAGTCTGTTACTTGCTTTATCATGTGACCGTTCATTTGCAGTTTACATTTACACAGTACTTTAGTTATTACAATAGTTTTTCTTTTGGTAACATTTATCTCCATGTTGAGTTTTTCCACCTGTATTCTAAAATGCTGCAGTAGCCATTATAGTCCATCCCCCGTGTTTGCAATCAAAGTTGCGTCGTTCGCGCACTTGTTCTATGATCCTGTCTATGAAGATTGGTGTTGAAGAAGAGTGGGCTGAGGCTGCCGCCCTGCTTCATATTCACATTCCGGTAATCATATCCTGTCGAACACTTTCATCAAATTCATAAATTAGAGTAAGTATGCATGTTCTAGGGCTTTCTCCCCTATGGTTAACTACAAAGACTGTATCGATCGTTGATTTGTTACTTTGAGGAGAAACACGTCACAAGAGTTCGAGAAAACAGCTTCATCTATGTGTCTAGGAAAGAAATTCCTTTCTTAAAGAGTGAAAATAGTTTCTTCAGCTTTCTGGAGTTTGGACATCCTGCCGTATTTTATCATACAGCTCCATGAGTTATTATGTTAGTCCTTCTCTTCCTCGCATTACCAGCTCATTGAGGACATTTCCAGACCTAGTCCAGTTATGCTTTTACATATAGATTATACTTACTCATAGTTGTTTCACCATAATAAAAGTCAAATATCTTTACAACAATAAGACACTTACTGATGAAACAATCATGAACAGCACGTGCCTAATTAGACAAATACATAACGAGGTGTTCGAATTCAGATCTTTCTGATTCAGAATGAACACATTTTGAATCCATTTATGGAATCATTAATTGTTATAAAAACCTTGTGCTATTTAGTGTCGTTTAACATGTAGTCCATTGGTGTTGTTTATTTCTTCAGTTCAAAGTCTTATTGAAGGTGTTATTTTTTATATCTCAGCTTGTTCCTTTTTCCTTGCGTTAAGTTTGAAGTCGTCGTTTCTAATGCATATTAATATTATTGAAATATTAAATAAACTTTAACACCTATAAATAAGATGTATTAAATGTTTTTTTGGTGGAACGATTTATTTTAGAGATCTAGGTAGGAGTAGTTTTGAGATTAATTAAACAAAATATTACCGTATATTCTGATAGAGTTCTTTCTGAAGGCGCTCTTTGACTTTCCTCGCCATCCGAATAAACACTTCTTGGCACGTGAACGGGTATCGGCGACTCCGCCGCGGGTCTCCTAGCTACGTAATGATTTTTATTAACGCGGGTCGTCATACCTTTTCCCATTGTATCTGATAATTCATCTAAAATAAATCGATATTGTTTAATCAAAAAGAAAATAACGATATTAAGTTGTTTAAATTATTATGAATTAAAAATATTAGACTGAAATTACATGTTAATAATTATTTTTTAATTAAAAACCCAAGAAACTTTAACATTTCTACAATTCTCAACGTTTACAAAAGAAAGCCACGACGAAATCCTTTTCTAATTAGCATTTCTTCGCAACACAAAAGCTTTTTCGTGTTTTCTTGAGCCGCTCTGTTTGTTAGGCTTGTATATCTTCATAAAATATACTTAATAAGTTGGAGAATACTCTTCTTTCAAGGGAAATTTTTAATTTTTAGAAATCGTTTTGTTTAAATTTTAGTAGTGAAAGTTATTGATGCAATATGTAAAATAGGAATAATTTTTTGTATTCTATTATTCTCTTTTAGTATATTTTTAGTTAGTTTAATTTTAATTAGTTTCCTTTTTTATTCTTTTAAACATACCCATTCTTATATCTTGACTGGAGGGGTGTTTTGGCCACAACGACCTCGTTTCATCCTCCTTAATCCTTGCCATTTCTTTTATATTTTAATAAGATTAAAAAAAACTAGCAAAAAAATAAATCAAAAATACAAAATTAATCCCCTTTTTTTAAATTAATTAAAAAACAAACAAGAAAAAGATCCAAGGCTACGGGTATCAAGAATAAAAAATCCTTTTACTTTTCATTAAAGTACCGATTCGCTTTCTAAAAATGACGTCAACCTCTAAATATGGTTCGAAGTAAAAACGTTTTCGCCTCTCTCAATCCAATTACATTTTAAAACGACGATGCAAAGGTAAAGCGAACGGTACAAAACCGCCATGGTAAAACTAAACTCTTGTTTCGTCTATTTTTCTATTTCAACTTACCGTTCTTTCTTGCAATAAAGTAAGGTTTAGCGATGAAGTTGTTATTACGTTTCGTTGAACATTTCGGGTACAATTTTAAAAACTACTTTTGAATGGGGTAAACACCGCAAAAAATACGTTTTAACGCGCGCCGTTCAACGCTGTTAACGTGTGTGTGTATCTCGAACTGTGGAGGAGACCTGGTGGAAGGCTGCGTGGGGAACGTTACGTCATTGCTAAGAAATCCACAGGTTGTTTTATGTTTCAGATGAGACCGGAGAATATCTAGCTTTTCTAGAGTTAAATTCTAGATAGATTTTTCTCCGCTTCAATTTTCTCTTCGTTGTAACTTGTAATTACATCTTCTTTTAATCCAATTTAATAATTTGACCTTCAAAAAAAAGAACGTTTAAATTATTGTTTAAAATTGTTTAAAAAATTAATGAATGCTAATCAGTTTTGTAAATTCTTAAAACATAGCATCCGTTTACCTTGTAAAGTAGTCTCTAAAAGGTCTGCGTTATTCAATGAAACAATTTGACCTTCCCAACAAATAAAATGAATTAATTATTAGTTCTTAATTAATTAAATTTATCAATACTTAAAATTTGACTTTGACAAGGCTTTGACATTTAAAACTTAAAATTACAGTTTTCTTTTTTAACATCTTATTCACCTTGAAATTAAAAATTTTTATTCATAAATTATTTATTATGGTCATAGTAATAATTTTAATTTCAATATTAAATTATTAAAACTAATTATTAATAATAAAAATTGTAATTTATTTATGTCGGTAAAATAGATTTTTATAATTATAAAACGTCACCACCTGTCAAAAGGATGATTTAGAATTATTTGTTAAAAGAATTAAAAAAACTTGTTTTTCTAACAGAAACTATTCAAAAATGAGTAGTAAAACGAAAACGATCGAAAAAAACGGTGTTTCCACGTCGAATAAAACTTTATGGACCAGAGCGTTTACCTCGAATTCGGAGTGGCCTGATAAGGTGAGGTTATGTTAAATTTTTATTTAAATTATTATTATTTTTTGTAATTGCAGGAAGAATTTTTAGATGTGATTTATTGGATGAGACAATTCATCGGAATTTTTATAGGGATAACGTGGGGGTTATTACCGTTAAAAGGCTTCCTTGGTATAGCTTTATTCGTCTTGGTTAATGCAGCGATTATTTATTTTTACTGTATAAATTTCCAAAATATAAACGAAGAAGAGTATGGGGGAACGTGGGAATTAACTAAGGAAGGGTTTATGACATCGTTTGCTGGGTTTTTAGTTACATGGATTATAATTTATTCTGGTTTACATCATGAATGATTAAAGTAATTTCTTATTAATTAGGGTTTTGTAATAAATATAATATTGTTTCATCTTAAAAGGAAATGTAATCATGTACAGCAATATCCATAATAAATATTTATAAGATGTCATTGCTTTTTTATTTTAACAAATTTATAATGTCATAATATTCTCTCTTCCATTTTATCAAATTTTTGTTGTATTTCTTCTTTAACAACTTTTTCAGCTTGATATAATTAAATTACAATTTTCTTTTTCTTTATATTTCATCTAAATATTTAATTAACTTG